TAATGACTATAACAAGAAACAGCTGGTAAACACAGGGAATCCACACAGGGTAGATGAGGGGGCATGGCACACGGGAGGATCGGACAAGTGGAGCATGACAGAAGCTGTGAATTGAAATTACTAAATTCATATTTAGATAATTAAAATCCACAGCCCTTCAAAGCTTACAGTAGAAATAATAATCCATAAAAAATAGAAGAATGAGTGATTTAAAAGGTGCAGGGAGCAGGGCAGGTGTTGGTAGAGGTGCCTCTGATGATCTTAACCCTGAGTGGGATTGGAGGGGGGATTGGGTGACTGTGGGAAAGGGTGAGCTGAGGCAGGCCATGGGATCAAGGCAGGAAGACCGGGGCCTCAGCAAGTCACTGTGGGATGAGAGAGAGGGGCCAAAGATGAGGAAGGTCACACACAGTCACCTACAGTCACACACAGATACACACAGTCACAGATACAGTCACATACTGTAACACACAGATATATGCACAATCACACCCACACAGTCACACTGAAACATACACACAGATGCAGACACACAGAAACACACAGTCATACAGACACACAGTAACACACAGACATACACACAGATACACACACACACACACACACACACATACACACAGATGCAGACACACACAGATGCAGACACACAAAGTCATAGTCACACACAGATGCACACACACACAGTCATACACAGACATGCACACAGATGCAAACACACACAGTCACACAAAGTCATACAGACACACAGAGACACACAAACAGACACAGACACATACATCTGGTGTTCCAGCTTCCTGTCCTATGGTTGTGTTACGATAAACTCTAAATCAAAACTCCTTCATACTAAACTGTCATATGTCTCTCATTCACTGTTAAACTAACAGCAGTGACAGAACCCAATCCTAAGCCGCAAATTACAGTTTTGATTTACAACTTGCAAGTTGTGAAAAGTACAATATAACTTGCTTACTAAGCTGTGGATATACTAACTGTTCAGGAGTATACTAACTAACCATGGAGGTTGTACCAAGGCCTCTGTTTGTATGCTCAGCTTTATGACACATATTTTGTTTTTGCCAACACCAATCACCTTTAACCGCATCACACAATAACATATCTCTACAAAATTTCTGGACAAATGATCTGTGTGTCCATGTGCTGGATTGGTTCATATAGCCAGACAGAAGGCTGGACCTCTGTAACATTCGCTCCCTTCAGACATATAGCTGCAGACTGGCTAAAGACGAAACCCCAAACTTAACGCGAACGAATCCATACATGTGCTGAAAAAACACTCATGATGTCTTTTTGTCTGGCTGAAGCTCAGGGTCTCAGATGCAGCTTCCTCTCATGCCGGCGGTGTTACAGTTCCTGCCTGAAAGCTGAGGCTCCATCTGGATTGCTGCTCTTGGTGAGAGCTGCTGTGTAAAAGCTGACAGACCAACAAAACTGTCCTTGCATCCTTCCATAGAGCAGGCAGAGCTGAACAGGCAGGGATGGACATAACTGGTACACAAGTACGCATTCACCTTTAAAACGATACGTGTCACAATCGATTGTGGTGACAGTGTAAATGCGTACTTATTTTATGTGCATTTGCACTGACATGAAAACAAAATATACTGCATTTTAATCTTTATATGCTAACTCTACTTTATTTGCAGTATACAAGTATTTTCTTGTCATAGCAGCGCAAATGCACATAAGTACGACAAACAAACGATTGTTGCACTTATCGTTTTTAAAGGTGAATGCGTACTTGCGTAGCAGTTACAGTATGTCCATCCCTGTTAATGGGATCCATAAAGACTGTCTGCAGGACAGGAAATCAGAGCCATTCAAAGGCACAGAGGCTTGTGTGGATACAAAGACATGCTGGTACATGCCTAGATCTGTTGCATGCCAGACAGCAAGCAGCCCGACCACCTGTAGTTCAGACTAGGTCGTACACCTGATGCTAAGCAGGTTTAGACTTGGCCAGTAATTGAATGGGAGACCAACTCGGAAAGCTGGGTTACTGCTGGAAGAAGAGTTGGTGTGGTAATGAGCTGTAGAAATAGTACCATCCCTTGGATGAGGTGTAAAGCCAAGTTACTCTTTCAAAAGAGTAGGGTTGGTACCCTGATCCCTTGGTGGAAATTGCCCACTGTGGCCTTTTCAAATCTGTCCTCCTAAATGTAATTAGTGGATTCTCTCCTACCCCTTCAGCATCTTAGCTACTGTATGGTGAGCATACTGATGCAGAATGGCTGCCGTCACATCATCCAGGAAAGTGCTACACAGTGGTGGTGGTTGAAACGGCTCCCCCTTGGTTCTGTAAAAGTGCTCTGGGTGTCTTGACAAGCACTGCATAAATGTAACTTTCATTCATTATGTTCTCAGCCTGTTTATAAATTCTCTGACCATCTCACCCAAACGATTTTCATTCTGACAATTTTTAAACTCCTTTCCTAATAATTCTTCTGATGTTTTAACATTGAAAAGAGAAATGGGGACTTGGTGCTTTGTGTCCAATGTCACTACACTACTGTCTACTAAATTATTATTATTTATGATTGAGAAGAATATAAGAGCAGCAGAACATGCAAATTGTATCCAGATATTTCTTAATATACTCTTTAGAAGAAAGTAGTCTAAATCACTAATATGCAGTGCTTAAAAGGAGGAATCATTGCATGATCTATCCGGTCTGCCTGCAGACTTTAAATTAATTGTCAGAGAACACAGATCAGGCTGATGAGCTTAACTAACTTAACTACTTTAACTAAAGGTAGAGCTGCACCACACTAAAAGCCAGCAGTGGATTCTGTTGAACTGAGCTTGTGGTCTTCAGAAGTGGATCCAGAGGGAGGCTGTGAGGGACGTGCTTGGGGACAGAGGCAACTCACAGATGGCTGGAAATGAAAAGATCAACCTGGAACAAACAGGAAAAGATCAAACAAGAGTAAGTGGGAAAACTAGCTGTGAAAATCATAATGCCTTCACAGACCGATGTGGCTCTCAAGCTATCTTAGTAATTATCCCTCAAACAGTGTCTTTATTGCACAGCCCCACCCCCATCCTAATTCCAATAATTCAAATTCTAAGCGGATTTTTCTGACATCACTGACGTCCTGACTACACACACTCAGAGGGCATTAAGCATCCAAACTGATGGGCTAATCATGAAATTAGTGTTCCAGCATTAGCTAAACCTAGGACTGAATAAAAAAGTATTCAAATTACATACTGTAAGAATACAGCACCACAACAACAAACCCCACCAGCTGATTGGTTATCACCACGTAAGACCGCCTCCTGGGAGGAGCTCTGCAGACGATACCCTCTGTTTGGACACACGCAAAAGAAATAAACCCAGGCATTTTCAGATTATTCTCTGGAAAAAGGGGAATGTAAGGTACAGTGGTCACTTGGCAGCTCCAGCAGTGTTGCAGCTCAGTTCTGTGATTCTAAACTCGATGAAGTGCTGAGGCAGAGGATAACATCACAACAGCTGGTAACCAAGGGGGCAGGACCTCCTCATCTCATTGGCTGAGGGCCAGGCAGGGAGGCCGCCTACGTGCAAGGCGATGTTATTGTACTTACTTATGTCTAGATTCTCGTGTCAGTGCCAGATTTAATGTGTAGTGACAGTCAAAGAACCCAGGCCTAAAGGGGGGGGGGCAAGCTCAGGGTGACGGCACTAGGAAACATAACAATTTTCACGTCCATCTCTTTCACTGGCCTTGAGTGAAAATGCTCAGCCATTCAGAGTGCAGGTGGGAGGGGGGTGGTGGGAGGGGGGTGCTGGGAGGGGGGGTGGGAGGGGGTATTGCAGGGACACTCTGTCCGAGAGTACAGCCAAAATCGGGACAGCAATTAAAAGCGGGCGTGTGGCCTAGTGAGCATGCCTCATGGCCCCAGCGAGCCCCCCTAGATAACGTGGGTCCTCCCCTCATTCAGAGCGTTTACTCCGCCCCACATTACATGCAGCATCTGTCGATACATCGATGGCCATTCTGCTGTGGGTGTGGTACTGTGCAGAGCCCCTGCTCCGCCCACAGCTGCTATCGATGGGTGCACTGAAGTGGGAGAACAGTCGCTTGTGAGACTGGGGGGGGGGTGTAGCAGAGAAAGTGAGTGATGGTGTTGTGGGGGGGGGGCACAGGATGAATGAATGAGTAGAGGGAGGGAGAGGAAGGTGCAGGCGGGCGAGCACATACAGTGAACAAAGCGCTTGCTGTGCTTTTATGAGCCTCACAGACATGTGCAGATATGCAGGTCTACCTGCCTTTCCGAAGAAGCAACCAGAAGAAAGGAGATAGGAAATGAAAGAGGAACAGGAGAAACTGCATATCTGCTAGGAGGAATCGGGGGGAGGGGGCGCTTTAATATGCCAACGACCAGGAAGCGCTGCCGAGGCAGCCTGACCCGACCTGGACCGGACCACTGCTGAGATAGACGAGTGGTGGCAACATGTCCAAGAGCAGCCGTCCTCAAACAGGACCAAGGGGCAAAGTCTTTTGGAGAATGGAACCGATTAAGGAGCAACACACATTTAGCAGCTGGTCTCTGAGGGCCCTGAAGAAGCTGCACTCTTCCTCAGACTCAGGCGTATCTCTAACCCACCACTTGGGGGCGCTCTCTCTCTCTCTCTCTCTCTCAAATTCTCCTCCCCGCATTTCTTGAACCCCCTCCCCCATTCCCCTTCTCTAATTTCTTCCCTGTCATTAATGGTGATGCTTTTCGCCCCCCTGCATCTCATCCCCCCATAATTTATTGCCCATTATGCTGGGCTGTCCCCAGTTCCACACCACCGAACGTGCACGGGGGCCAGAGGAGGTCCCGCCCCCATGTGCTCCTGCCTCCAGCCTCCGGAGGCAGTGCTGCTGCTGCGCTCATCTGTTGAACGGAGGGGGATTTAATGCCATAGCAGCGAGGCTGGGGCAGCAGGGCGGGGGGGGGATGTGTGTGAGAGTGTGGGGTGGCTCAGAAAGGGAGGGGGCCACAGAGCAAGGCAGTGAAAAAGAGGAAGAGCAGTTAGGGGCTGCAGACAGCGAGGGGAGCATACTGATAGGCTGAGAAGGGGCTGAATAACAGGGCAGAGGATAGAGGGATGGATAACAAAGGGAGATATTCTGGAGGAGAGCAAAAAAGCATGAGGTAGAGAGAGGGAGGCGTGTCAGGGACAAAGCGAGAGAACGAGGGGAGAGGCGCTGCGATAGGAGCACTCAGCCGCTTGCAGGAGAGGGAGAGAGAGGGAGAGAGAGGGAGGGAGAGACAAAGAAAGACGAGCGCGTAGTCCTGCCAGAGTACGAGAGAGAGAGAGACGGGACGGAGGCACAGAGCGTGAAGCATGCCTCTGTCAACAGGAGCCGCGGTCAGGCCAGCAGCAAGGAACTAGTTCAGCGTGTTTTTCAGCTCCCCACAAAACGTGACAGACGCATGAGGACGTGCATCTCCCTGCACACCTGCTTCTCAGGAACGGGAAAGCTTGCAGCCAGCTTAGGAAGCAGAGGTGAGAGTTCAGAATTCACGGCATCACACGGCTCACAAGAAAGCGCCAGGAGGCAGGAAGGCACCATAAAGGACCAGCGGAAGGACACTGGAATTTCTCCTCACTCCACTGGAGCCATGGAAACGGGATTACAGCCTGTTTTATTTTGATCATTTTGTTTTTTGCATGTTGGAGGGGTGTCATGTTTCCCTCTACTTTTTGGTTTTGAAAGTGAAAAAACTGGACCCAACATACAAGCCCTGAGTCAATCAAAGATTCAAAGCTGACAGAGGTAGAGAGAACAAGAGAGGACAAGAGAGACAGACTGATGGAAAACAAAAAAAGGTCAAACAGAAAAACACTAAACCAGGAAACCAAAAATCCAGCGTAACAGAGCTCACAAATTGGCACGGAGGAATCAGCAGAAAAGCACATTTAAGAATTTGGAGCTGCACAGCACTGTTGTTTTCCTGCACTCAGGACCGAAGAAAAGAGGGGCAGAGGCTCAGTGACAAACTGAGAAGTCACATGCACGTAGCGCTGTGTGTCCACCCCGCGTGGGACACAGATACACCAGAGGGCTGTGACCATTTTCTGCCTTCCCAGCAACTCCTGGGAAGGCAGAATCCCCCGAAGGCGTAAAATATCTGAGATCGACACTAGAACCAAAGGTCATATAGGAGGGAAGTAAACTGCACTTGACCACCTTGTGGAAGAGACGGCTTTTATTGAAAAAATACGCAGGAGAAGAGTGTTTAGGAGCAGGGCACGGGCAGCTCTCCTGGCAACACTGGCAAACTCTGCTCTGTACTTGGATGTTCCACCTCCTTTTGTCCATCATGAAGACACAATAAAAAGCAAAGCCTTCAGGCTGTCAGGGTAACGCTCTGCTAAGCAGCCACCACCGGGTGACAAGTGCCAGCTTGGAGCTTCCAGAAAACGCTGGATCTGACACGGTTACCTTCTCAATCTGACACTGAATCTTTTTTTTGAATCTGACTTGCTTCTTTGTGGATCGGATTCACATTCCATCACGTGAATAACAGAGACAGCCCTTTAGCCCTTTCTTCCAGCAGCTCATTCGGATTCGGGATTGATCTGGCCCGCCTGGTCGGTTTTAACTAGCCAGACGATAATTAATTTCTGGATATTGACCTGGTTCTCTGCAAATATTTTGATGAGCATCGAAATCAAAATTTCTTCCGAAAGAGTGTCAAGAATGAATTAGCTGGTCACTGGGGATCTACTGAACTCTAATTAGTGTTAACATCATCAGATCAAAGGATCTGTCCTTTGAACTCCTGCTCCTTCTCTGTCCAGCCCACTGAGATCTGCCCAACATGGCCACCCAGATGCCCCTCCTGCTCGCCTTACTGTTGAGCTCCACCTCGTTGGCCCAGAATGACAAGCAGGTTGAGATGAACAACACGGAAGCCAACTGGACCATGTTGCCTTCAGCGGTTCCAGAGCTGACCCTGACGATGCCGGGAGGGGACGCGGAGAACCAAACTGCTGGGTCCGTGCCAAGCCGTTGCTGGGGATACTACGACGTGATGGGCCAGTGGGATCCTGCCTTCAACTGCAACGTGGGCGTCTACCTGTTCTGCTGTGGATCCTGCTACTATCGATTCTGCTGCAAGTTCCAAAGTCACCGGCTGGACCAGTCAGCCTGCTCCAACTACGACACGCCAGTGTGGGCCAACACAGGCAAACCGCCCGCCCCCGTCACCGAGGCCCGGGAGGAGCCGGAGCTGGACCGCACGCAAATGATCGTTTACATCATCTGCGGGGTGGTGGCCATCATGGTTTTGGTGGGAATCTTTACCAGGGTTGGCCTGGACAAGAGGCGGCAAAGCCAGAATGAGACTACGAACTCCAGGTAAGCAGGGGTGTCGGCAAACGGGGTAGGGCCCCCACCAGGGGACTAATGTGGACTGAGCTGGGCAAAGTTGTCTCACTGTAGGGGGACGATGAGAGAGGTGAAAGGGGGTGAAGGAACCATCCCCAGATGTTCTTCTGATGGCTTAATGGGGGGCTGCAGGCAGGGGAGGAGGAACTGGGGCCCCAGGTTGGGCATTCAAAATCCAAACCTATCAGCACTTACCGAAATTCACCATAGAGCACTGAGTTTTTACCCTAATTGTCTTCTTGGCCTGTCGGCCTCTCGGTGGCATGCTGGCCTGGGGGGTGGGCGAGGCCTTGTCATAACAACCCAAGAAATACAATGATGCTAGGTTGACGCTCGGTGAATGAGACCCATCAATTCACAGGGACCCATAGCTGAAGGTTGGTGGGACTAATATGTCGCTGGCTCCTTCGAATTTAAGCACCTCAATTGCTGACATATTGATGTCACAGCGCCCCCCTATGGTGATAAATCTGCTCCTGAAAACACCATGTGGAGAACCAAAAACCCACGTGCAGCTTTTCGAGGAAGGCCGTAACTTTAAGAAAACATCATAACTTCCAAAGACGCTGTGTGTTGTCCTGTGGTGACGCATTTCCTCATGCCGCTGTCGTATTGCAGATGCACTGGTTTATATATCCATCCTTTCCAACTTTATACAGCTTCCCGAATCGTCCCCTGACTCTGAGGGCTGTACATTTGTGGCACATGCTGTGCGCCACAGCGACAGCATGTTTACACAAAGGGACAGAGTACACACTATTTTCACGTGTACGTTACGTACCTTCCCAGCCACCACCCCCAGATGTGCCACGCCGATCCAAGAGAATGCCGTGTTCTATCTGATGTGATCACACTCTGGAGCTGCCTCAGGAATTATGGGAGTAAAACGCACATCAGCCCAGACACAGGTGCTTGGCAGGAGCACGGGCAGGAGCATGAAGCCTCCCATCCCTCCTGCCTCACCAAAGCTCAGCACCCCCTTACACTCATCAAAGCTGTAACCCAAGCCAAAGGGGGGTGACTGTGGCCTTTATCACAGCTGCACGACACCCCCAGGCAAATCACCCCAGCTAGAATGATGCAGACAAAATGTTCCACTAAGAACATGGTTTTGCTTTAAAACTTCCGTCTGATTGGTAGAACCCAAAAGCAGAAACAGGAGCCCCAGGAGCTATGGAAACAGGGTCGGACGCAAAGCCAGCAAGCAGCTCCAGCACCTTTGGGCATTTTCATTCAGATAATCAAACAAAAACAGGTTTCAGCAAAGGCTTTAACACTGAATCTACCAAATTTAAGGGAGGGGGCACTGATTTCTAAAAAAAGCTCATGTGTCACATGACCATAGCTCTGAAAAAGCCTTCTGCAGACCCCGGGCCACTTAGACTCGTCCTTCCATCAGGTACAACAGTCGTTGTTCAAATAACACAGAAGGGAGCTCTAACTGTGTTTTTTTTCTGCTGGAGAATAAGAAACACTGTTTACATTGGGAACATTAACATCAATAGACATCTCCTGATCTCTAATTAGAGTAACCGTCATGAACTCCACTGACTCTGGCTGTAAGTCTGACCTCTTGCCCTGCGCCCCCACCCCCCCCCCCACCCCGGGACCGGCCCTCCTCCAGCACGGACGGGACCAGTGTAAGACAGAATCTGGACAGGTGTCTGCCATGTCTGGGGAGACTTACAACCGCTGAAGATCAGCTTTAATCTCATGTCCCAAATGTCAATCAAATCACATACATAGGATCAGCACTACGCCACCTAGAGACCAAACATGAAACCTGCATGTCAATTAGCAAAAACAGGTTTTTCTGACAAGTGCTCTGCAGAGCAGTTACATATCAGAGTAATTATTGGACAGAGCAGGGTGTGTATTGCACACGAGATGAAGTTTTTCTCTCTTTGCTGTTTCTGAGCCCTTCAGTGACAAAAGGCTACAGCACACAAGGCAGACAGAGCCCCCACTGATGGCCAAGAGGCACAGCCAGCAGCGAGCGCTGGTGTTAATTAACAGGGAGATAAGGGGCTTAATGGCCAATGTGCTAAGCAGCGATGCTAAGTGCCGTGTGACGGACGCACCGTGAAGGGTGTTACGAGGGAGGTTGCCTCAGGGACCGCAGGCAGGAGGACAAATGGAATCGTAATGCAGGAAAAGCAGTAAAACCACGTGGTAAACGCACATTCCCTTACAGCCAGGTCTGACTAGATCCAGGACAAAGGGCGCAGCTGAGGGGATGTGTGAAACGCTTGGGCATGAGACCCACTCGAGAGGATCAACTCTGACTGATGCACGATGACAAGAGCAACACAGAGCTCGAGAGCTAAAAATACCCCCCCCCCCAACATGCTGCTATACTACTGAGGACTGGGGGGGTGAACGCTTATGTCACGTCTTCTTCACTGTGGGATCTTGCTGAATGCTCCCTTTTGTATCAAAAGCCCAGAAAAGACGCAACTGGAAACCTGGTACAAGCTTGAGGGGGTGGCCTTTGCTTCCGAGAGACACAAATGGGCTGAGACTCGGGGCTGGGAATTTCCCCAGAAGCTCGGGAGAAATGCAATTTGCTCACAGGCTCTGCGGCTGAGCACCTCCTCTGATGGAGACCTGTAGGGTAGATTAGCCTGTGCTGGGAGCTCCTGACTGGTTTAACTCCTGCGCCACTGATGCCTTGATTGGCCCCCATTGGGTTAAACCCATCATTGACTGATAGCTCACGGTAGCCCCACCTACTGCATGCTTCAGGGTTCCACTTCTTCTATCAATGTTGCCTTTTATTGGTTAACTCTGTGGGGGGGGGGGAGGTCAGAAATATCACCCATTGACACCTCACTTGGGGTTGTACCTGGTCCCCTAGGTGCAAAGATCAAGATGCACCCCTACCCTCACATCCTGCCTGCTGCAGGGTGGCGAGGGGGGGGGGGGGCTAACCCCTGGGAGTACTAATATTCAGCATCAGTCAGCAGCAGCTAAACACACAGAAAAGGAGGCAGAGGAGGAGGAACATCAGGTAATCACTGGAGGGCAGTCAGATACCATTTAAACTGAAGCCTCTGAAGTCTCCGGCTGAGACTGCTCCTCCATTACAGACAGTTAGAGGCGGAGGTGATGGGGGCGAGGGAGAAGTGTGGAGGACAGGAGCGAGGGAGAGGCACAGATAATAGGAGTGAGCGAGAGGTGAGGAGGACAGGCAAGAGAGGGGTGAGGAAGACAAGAGTGAGGGAGATGTGTGGAGGACAATAGCAAGAAAGAAGGGAGGAGGACAGGAGAGAGGGAGAGGGGAAGGAGAACAAGATCAGGGGAGAGGGGATGAGGACAGGAACAAGGAAGAGGGGAGGAGAACAGGACCAAGGGAGATTGGAGGAGGACAGTGAGGCCAAAGGGGGCACCTGAAGACTAAGTGCTACCCAGCATCTGGCAGGACATGAAAATCAGTCTGAACTGTTAATGCAGTCAGGCTGAAGTAGTGAAGAGGTTAAAACCCCGAAAAAAAGGGAAGGGGGCACACCCAGGGGCAGATAGGGGTTTAAGGAACTGGGCTGGCAAAGGATGGAACTGCAACGAACAAGCAAATGACTTTTGAGGGGGTGTGCAGACTTAACAGCCCCATTTGGGGTGATCTACACAGCACAGGGTCACCAGATGAGGGAGCCATTCCGTGGTGGCCAAGTCGGGGCTTGGCAGGGCTAATGGCATGCGCTAGATGTGACACGGGGGTGGGGTGGGGTTGGGGGGATTGGACGTGGCTCCATCGAGCAGGGGTGATTACACCTCCTGTCACGTCGCACTCAAGGTCACGCCCCGGACAGAGAGGCTAGTTCACAGCAGCCAATGAGTTCCCGACATGCCAGTGCGTGGTGGCGGCACCACAAGCGGAAACGGCGCCATCTCAAGAGTGCAGTGTCAGCAGGGCTTGCCTAGGATGGATGACTCGCCCTGGGCCGGTTCTAATCGATCTAGAATCCATACAGGAACCCAGGGGCCAACACAAGCTTCCGCTGATCATGGACCAGATAAGACGGCACAGAGATCCGTAGTTGGGGGGGGGGGTCACAGTTTGCAGTCCCTGGGGGGCACAGGGATCCTGTCCACAGCCAAGCTACAGTCAAACAGAGGGACACAGACAGAGAGTGTGGGCTGTGCTGGCTGAGCAGATCGCTGCCAAAGCAGGTGTTTGCCATACAAAAAAAGTTTAAGCACCAGTCGACTGGCAATGAGTAACTGCAGGATTACAGCGCCTCCCCCTGGCAGGATGACTAAAGTACACTGAGTCACACATCATCACAGTGAGCGTGCAATTACACTTACCTGACCCCATGCAGCCAGTGGCGTGTGACAGTTGGCATCCAAAATGAAATGAGGCCGAGTCGATTTTAATTACGTGGCACGTTAAAACTCGGGCACACCAGACACACCCCTCAGGGCATGGCATGTGAGTATTACTGCAGCCCGGGAGCTTTGATGTCAGACGTGGATGGGGGTTATGCTGCAGGGCAGCGGGGGCGGGGGCGGGGGCGGGGGGGACGACATGGCTTTTATTGTCAAAAACATCAAAATGAGACACAAGCACACAGGGCACAGTTAATTTACTGAAGGTCTGTCCCAGGACTGGCTTCAACTAACCCCAAAAAACATCACATTCATAAGATAAAAGGTTGTTCAGTGCAGAAACAGTGTGGAACAGTGTTTGGGAGGGACATGGGGATCCGATTTGTAGAGTCAGTACAGCGGAGTGTGAAGCATGAACATGAGACTGCAGACAAGGGGCTGTCAACTGCCAGGGCAGGACACAGAAAGTGTTTCATCCAGAAGAAGCACATTCACTGTTTTCTTAAAGGCAACTGATTGCTTATATCACAGTGTTACATGTAATCTGCTCGTGGGCACGATGTAGGGAGGGTGCCATGGCTGAAACTGGCAGCAGAATGGGGGGCACTAGGGTAGAACAGAAAGTTCCAGAACACAGGGGAGGGCTGGCAGACAATGGGCCTCCAGCTGGGCAGTAACTTTACGCCTTATGGCAGCCCTCGCCTCGCCTCGCCTCGCCTCCATGTACTACTAGCAGGTGATTCCACACTCAAGGCAACTCTGCTGGTACCCATAATGCTTTGTGTAATGAGAGATGCCAGAGAGTGTGAGATTAAAGGCATACAACAGCAACCACGGCACCTCGTAGAAGCACATCTCTCCTGTGCTCCCCTGGCGCCCTGGCTCTGAACTATGTGAATTGTGCACCACTTTCACACTTCTCTCCCTACTCTCCAGGGGTCAGACTCAACTCCTGAAGCAGCCAGGGGGTGAGCTGGGATGCCTGGAGGGGATGGAGGGCCACCCACCCAAGGGGACCAATGGACTCTCTGGCAGGGGGCTACGAGACAGAGGTGAGCTGTGGACTGGGGTTTCCAAGTCAAGCATGGCCTTGCCTTGGATTTTGGACACTAAGCTTTTGGTCACATGCGCTGGGAATGCAGCTTAAAAGGGAATGAGAACTCTGCCTTTAGTAAAAGGGGCCATGAAAGCCTGACGACGGCCTTTCAGCTGGAGCACTGTAACTGGCCCCACAAACACAGTCCCTCTGGTCCCCCCCTTTAAGAAAGCAAGCTCCTTACCCCACAAACACAGCCCCTCTGGTCCACCCTTTTAAGACAGTGAGCTCCTTACCCCACAAACACAGCCCCTCTGGTCCCCCCCTTTAAGAAAGCAAGCTCCTTACCCCACAAACACAGTCCCTCTGGTCCGCCCCTTTAAGAAAGCGAGCTCCTTGCCCCACAAACACAGTCCCTCTGGTCCGCCCCTTTAAGAAAGCAAGCTCCTTACCCCACAAACACAGTCCCTCTGGTCCGCCCCTTTAAGACAGTGAGCTCCTTACCCCACAAACACAGCCCCTCTGGCCCCCCCCTTTAAGAAAGCAAGCTCCTTACCCCACAAACAAGTCCCTCTGGTCCGCCCCTTTAAGAAAGCGAGCTCCTTGCCCCACAAACACAGTCCCTCTGGTCCGCCCCTTTAAGACAGTCAGCTCCTTACCCCACAAACACAGCCCCTCTGGTCCACCCCTTTAAGAAAGCAAGCTCCTTACCCCACAAACACAGCCCCTCTGGTCCACCCCTTTAAGAAAGCAAGCTCCTTACCCC